AAGTGGAGGTGTTTCAATTGATGAAACTGTGGAAAGTCAAATTGAAGTCACAAGAGAAATTATTGAAGCTTTTATAAACAATGGTTGTGAGGTGTACAATTGTGACGAAAATGGTTTGTTTATAAATCCAAAAATAGATAAAACGGTAACCAAATAAAAAAGACCAAAAGGAATTAAAGCAGACAATGGTAAAATAACAATCATGCCACTTTGTAACATTCTAAAAACAGAGAAAAAGTTGATAATGATTGGGAAAACAAAATTGCACCTTTAATTGATGAAATTGTTTAGTACTAAAAAGACAACGCATGGATGGACACAACTATGTTTCAACTTTTTGAGTTTTTTGAATGACAAAATTGAAAGTGAAAACAACGAATTACATACATTAATCAAACCAATATTACTGATCGTCGATAATTGTCCTGGTCATTCATTTAAAAAGTGTATAAATGGTATTTTTTATGACGAGTTATCCAAATGTGTGTGTTTTCTTCTTACCAAAAATATGACAAGTGTTTTCCAACCACTGGATTGAGGAATAATAAAGTCTTTCAAGAATAAATATACAGACAAAATAGAAAATATCAAATTAAATGAAATTGGTATTGTTGAAAACGAAACGGACGTTTCAAATGGTTTATTTACATTTAATCTCAATAAACAAAGGTGGACTCAGATATTCGAATCAATAAACAGCAGTTGGAATGAAGTGACGTTAGAAACCATTAGAAATTGTTGGATAAAAGCATTTCTCAATTCAATTTATAACAAAATCGCTTTTGAAAACAGAGAACTATTAACAAAGTGCAAAACTATTGTACAGAAAACCGGATTGTTTAAAAAGAATAATTTGTTAATTGATGATTATTAACAAATTCGTAGTTGTGAAACACTTGAAGAAAAACTTGAATCTGAAATAGTACTGATTTACGAAGAACGAGACAAGATTTGCACTATTCAAGAAATAGATAAACACGAAGATGATGGTGTTATAACTCATGTGGATATGGATTGCATTGAATTTTAAAAATGAAATAAAAGATTTTATTGATTTGGCAAAACAACACTATTATTCAGTTGATGTTTTTTGTGGTTCAATCAAAGCAATGTGGTGATAGAGTTTTTGTTCATTTTTATTAATTCATTATTTTTACTAAGTATATTATAATATTATAGTATCGAATAACAGTTTCAAATATTAACATAATGCATTTTTATTCAAAAAACATTTTGATAAATTTAAGTAAAAATTTAATTATTTTTCACAAATCAAAACAAAAAATAAGACTGTGATTATAAAACTCAAAAGTGTTGTTGTTATTATTTTTTTTCTTCGGGTTCAATTATTTTTGAATGAATTAAACCCAATAATTTATTAAAGACGGAGTGGAATTAAACCCGGATTATACTGTATTTCACCTTATTTTGTTTACATAACAAAGTGACTATTTTTTTGTAAAGTTCTTATCAAAAGAATATAAATCAAAGTAAACTTTATAAAAGCTGTTTTTGTGTTAAATGTATTATTTCTTTTAACAACAATTGCCTTCAATACATATAATTCACAAACTTCTTTATATGTTTATATGACTTTTTGTTAAGTATAAAGACTGGTTAAATAATTTGTTAATAAATCCAGTTCATTGATGATAGAAATTACACATTTTGAATTTAATAATAATATGAGAATATAAAAAAAGATCTAGAAAACAACAATTGTGTTTTGTTTTTTTAAACAACAAGAATATTTTAAATTTTATAATTTATATCAATGTTATTTTATTGATTTCTTTGGTGTGTAATTATTATTTGTCGTGTTTAACACATTAATTATAATCCTTTCATTGTAGATAACATTGAATACTTTTTATATCATTATAAATATTCAAATCGCTCAACAATCTTACATAAAATAACCTTGTATTGTTTATTCACTTTTATATATCAATCATTTCTGTTTTTTATCTTTAATAAGCTTCTAGCTTTAGTGGCAATGGGCTATATTTTTGTTCGATTGTTATGAAATATAACAATTATTTTGACTCTTTTTTTTCACTATCACATAGATACATGTTACTCTGTGTTAAAGGGTTTCTTGAGGATAAAATGTGTTTTTAGGATCATAACTATTCTTATTAAAAATATTATTGATGATACAAAAAGAAAACCCATAAGGTTCAGTTCCCCACAAAGCCCACTCTTATATATCAAGTTAAATTTACACTTAATATTATGAGTCAAAGTTCGAATTTTGAATAATGGTAATAATTTGTCATAAATCCCAAAAGATTAAAAACAATCAAAAAATCACCACAATAATCAGTAAACAAAAAAATAATTATATCTCGCGAACTTGAGACGAGAAACAACAAAACATGAAAAAACTTGTTCATATTATGATAATAAACTTATTGAAATTATTTCCGAGTCCCTTTTAATTACAAAATTATTGAAATTTACGTTTAAAATGATAATTTTTTTATCAAAATGAAAATTGAAAAAATCGAAAACACTGATTTAATAAAAATGCAATTATAAAATATAACAAAATTATTAATAATTATGTAATTTATGCAATTATTCAAATTTATTGTAATAACAAAGTTAATCATATTGTGTATATTATAATACGATTGTTTCATTTTAATATTAACTTGTGTTTTAAACAAATTTACAGTTCTAAGGATGACGGAAATAGAAAGTTTACACTTTTACATCTATCTGAAATGTATATTGAGTAAGTTACTATTTTAAAACTTGGAAACACGTCATTTCCTTTCTTAAATGTTTAAGTCTGTGTTGACAATGTCTATTTGTTACACGACTTACCATCCTCAGAGATATGTATAGCATTTCCATTTCTGATTTATAATTTTACATTTAAAATTACAGTTAGAGAAAAAACCACTTGTATTTATTTTATGTTTTTATTGGAAAAATATTAATTATTTTACATATTTTATTTTTTAAAAAAGAAAAAAAGAGAAAAAGCACACCAAAATTCAGAGTTGCCGTTGCTTTTTCAAACTGAAACAGTCAATAAAAAGAAAATTATTTTTTTAAATAAAAAATGAATATTAATTAAATTGTTTTTCAATTCAATTATTAAAAAATGATAAAAATAATATCAACAATAAAAATAAATTATAATATTTACCACTGTTTACACTAAAGTATTGTGGATTGTAATAATACTAAAATATATTCCGACGGCTGAGGAAACACATCAAAAAGACTAAATAAAATCATACACAATTCAGTTGTTCATACAATTTTATTGTCGTTTAATTTGTTGTTCTGTTGGTTATTATAAATCAATTCAAGACAGATAAAACTTTCCTTTCATGTAAAAACTTTGATATGTTGATCATCGATCAATCAACAAACACTTAACTACATCACCAATTGTCCCACAATAATTTATAGATTAATAGTTCTCTAATGATTATTTTCTATGTATTATTGGTTTTATATGTAAGAATTAATAAAAACTATATTATTAATGTTGTTTGTCTCTCAACCTTTACTATCTTCACATGAAAAATACTATTTATTACTATTTATTAACTATTATAACCATTTTATTTAATTAATTTAGAGTAAAAATATAATTATAATATTGTATCTTTTATTTTTGTTTATTGGTTTAGTTTTATCATCATTTTTAATGGTTTTGTATTTTTTTTATCCTAACTATCCGATATTTAACCATTAATTACTTTGTTTAAAAATATGT